GAGGAGGAGGAGGGAAGAGGAAGAGAGGAGGAAACGGAGGAGGAGGAGGAGGGAGGAGGGGAGCAGGAGGAGAGGAGAGGAGGAGGAGGAGCAGAAGGAGGAAGGTGAGGAGGAGGAGGAGGAGGAGGGGAGAGACGAGGAGGGACGAGGAGGAGGAGGAGGAGGACGGAGGAGGAGGAGGAGGAGGGAGGAGGAGGAGGAGAGGAGGAGGGAGGAGGAGGAGGAGGAGGAGGGAGGAGGGGGAGGAGGAGGAGGAGGAGGAGGAGGAGGACGGAGGAGGGAGGAGGGAGGAAGGAGGAGGAGGGAGGAGGAGGAGGAGGAGGAGGAGGAGGAGGAGGAGGAGGGAGGAGGAGGAGGAGGAGGAGGAGGAGGAGGAGGAGGAGGAGGACGAGAACCTCAAGCAGGGAAAATTCCATCCGTGATCCACTTCCCACCCCTAGGGGCCCACCCCTCAGGGCCCCAGCCCTGACCCGCCGATGCGCGGAGGGCTCACGAACTCGGGGTCCGCGCGGGTGCGGTCGCAGGATCGCGCCGCCTCGGCGCCTGGCGACGCATCGGCGCCGCATCGGCCCCTGAGACCCCGGGCGTTGCAAGGTCTCCACACCGGGTGTCTTCGCCCAGGCTCGGGCCCAGGGCCATCACGGATCCGTCGGGCTCAAAGAGCGCCGCAGACAACTGGGGTCCAGGACTGCGGTCATGATGTGACGCGGTGCCGCATATTTTTGCAACGTCGGATCTCAGGGACACATCGGAGACGCATCGGCGATGCATCAGGGATACAGGCCTCTGAAAAGAAAAAACGACCACTCATGCCACACTCATCTGTCAACGCCTCCCCCTCACCCCAAACGATCAAAGTTGGCGGTGGGCCTGATGAGTTGCACTTCGACCGCAGTCTTCCCCGCGCGTGCCAACTTGCAGCTCTGGGGGGGGAGTGTTCGGCAATTCTTTCCCTCTACCATAAGTAAGTCGGCGTGCAGAGGATCGGGCTCCACATGGAAGCGGGCCTGAACTCTCGACGTCGGCGCTGTTCCGAGGTGCGACAGCGGGGAATGCGAGAGTTTGGGCCCCCCTCCGGGGCCCTAGATCAGGCCCAAATCGGCGCGCTCCCCCACCAGGCCGACCGCAGCATCTCCAGCATGGTTCTCATCGACCGAAATCTCAAGCCAGCGCCCACGTCGAGCCGCCCCACCGACGCATCGGCGCCCCCTCGTCTGCTCAGGGGCTCTCATTTGGAAGGCCTGGGGCCTCGCCAGCTCGCGCGCCCGGGCGTGGAAGCCGAAGCGCTGGCCTGCGGACAGCCTGTGGCGACCGGCGCCGCGCGAAGGAACGAAATTACGCAACAGAGGAACCCCACATACTTGGTTCATCGCTTCGCATGTACATTTGACGCTTTTGTCGTCGCTTCGCATGTACGTTGTATCTTGATTTGGGCATGCTCAATGTGGACGTTTCCTGCGCACCCCCCTCTGGCGTCGAGCAAGTGCCACGCGGGTTTGCGACAGTGTCGTGAACAGACACCGCGCTCAGGGACCACCCCCTGCGCACCCCATTTCGGCGTTGGCAATGTGCCGCGCATGCTAGTAGGCTTTGCGACAGCGTCGTGGATAGGCACCGCGCTCAGGGACCACCCCCTGCGCACCCCCTTCTGGCATCGAGTCAGTGCCACGCCTGCTGAGCTTTGCGACAGTGTCGTGGATATACACCGCGCTCAGGGACCAACCTCTGCGCACCCCCTCTGGCGCCGAGGAAATTCCACGCCTGCCACGCATTCCGACCCTGGCACGCAGAGAGACCGCGCTGAGGGACCACCCCCTGCGCACCCCCTCTGGATTCGAGGAAGTGCCACGCCTGCCACGCGCATTCCGACCCTGGCACACACAGAGACCGCGCTGAAGGACCACCCCGTGCGCACCCCCTCTGTGTCGAGGAAGTGCCACGCCTGCCACGCTTTCCGACCCTTGCACGCATAGAGACCGTGCTGAGGGACCACCCCCTGTGCACCCCCTCTGTGTCGAGGAAGTGCCACGCCTGCCACGATTTCCGACCCTGGCACGCATAGAGACTGCACTGAGGGACCACCCCCTGCGCACCCCCTCTGGTGTCGACGAAGTGCCACGCCTGCCACGTTTCCCGACCCTGGCACGTGTACAGACCGCGCTGAAGGACCACCCCGTGCGCACCCAGTTGAGGAAGTATCAGCCCTGCCACGATTTCCGACCCTGACACGCATAGAGGCCGCGCAGAAGAACAACCTCCTGTGCACCCCCTCTGGTGAGGAAGAAGTGCCACATCTGCCACGCATTCCGACCCTGTCATGCATAGAGGCCGCGCTGAGGGATAACCCCCAGCGCACCGCCTCTGGTGTCGAGGAAGTGCCACGCCTGCCACGCATTCCGACCCTGGCACGCGTAGAGACCGCGCTGAAGGACCACCCCGTGCGCACCCCCTCTGTGCCGAGAAAGTGCCACGCCTGCCACGCATTCCGACCCTGGCACGCACAGAGACCGCGCAGAGGGACCACCCCCTGCGCAAACCCCTCTGTGTCGAGGGAGTGCCACGCCTACAACGTTTTCCGACCCTGGCACGACTAGAGACCGCGCTGAGGGACCACCCCATGCGCACCGCCTCTGATGTCGAGAAAAAGTTGCGTCTGCCACGCTTCCCGACCCTGGCACGAATAGACACTGCGCTGAGGGACCACCCCCTGCGCATCCCCTCTGGCGTCGAGAAAGTGCAACGCCTGCCCCGCGCATTCCGACCCTGGCACACACAGAGACCGCGCTGAGGGACCACCCCGTGCGCACCCCCTCTGTGTCGAAGAAGTGCCACGCCTGCCACGCTTTCCGACCCTGGCACGCATAGAGACCGCGCAGAGGGACTCGGCGGCGTCCAAGAGGGAGGCGTCCAAGAGGGAGGGGGCGCAAATCGTGGCCGGCGGCCAGTGCACGGCCCAGGAGAGGCCCGGGACGCGTTGAAACAAGAAGAGGCGCCATGAGATCTGGGGAGGTATCTGGCCCCCGCCATGATATCCACACACATCCCTAGGGGCCACCCCCTGCGCAGTCTCTCTGGCGTCGGGAAATGCCACGCCTGCCACGATTTCCGACCCTTGCACGCATAGAGACCGCGCTGAGGGACCACCCCGTGCGCACCCCCTCAGTGTCGAGGAAGTGCCACGCCTGCCACGCCTTCCTACCCTGGCACGCATAAAGACCGCGCCGAAGGATCACCCCCTGGGCCCCCCCCTCTGGCGTAGAGACAGTGCAACGCATGGTGCGACGCGGGTGGAAACAGAAAAAAAAGGCACGACGCATGTGGGGAACAAGAGCGTCGTTCCACACAGGATGCACCATGACCCACATAGACGCCGCGCTGGGGGACCACCCCCCGCGCACCCCCTGCCGTGTGGAGAATGTGCCGCATTGCATGGTGTGTGTGTGTGTGCGTGCAGCTGCAAACATGTATATGTGTATGTGCTTATGTGTGTATGCGTGTATGTGTGTATGGGTGTATGTGTATGTGTATGTGCATGCGTACACGTGTATGTGCATTTGAGTCGGTGTGCATATTTATGTTTGTGCATGCGCGTATGTGTACGTGTGTATGTGCAGGTGATTGCGTATGTGTGTGCATGTGTAGGTGAATGTGCAAGTGCGTGTATGTGTATGTGTATGTGTAAGTGTACGTGTTTGTGTATGTGCATGTGCTTATGGAACACATGTGCATGTGTGCGTGTGTATATGTGTGTGCATGTGCTTGCGTATGTAGATGTGTAGGTGTGTGTGCATGTGTGTGTATGTGTAGGTGCATGTGCTAATGTGTATGTGTATGTGTATGTGTAGCTGCTTGTGTATGTATTTGCGTATGTGCAGATGACCGCATATGTGTGTATGTGTATGTGTTTGTGCATGTGCACGTGCATACGTGTCTGTGTCTGTTGACGCGGGGCCTGTAAAAGGCAAAAGAAGCCTACTGCGGGCCAAGGCCTCACTGAGAAGCCACGGCCCACGGGGGCCTTCCCAAGACACGAAGGGGGCGCTTCGGCCCAGAGAGCATCGACGACGTCGGAACCAACACCTCCAGGGCACATCGGCCCCGAGAGCACGCTCGACACGTCAAACCCTCAACCTCCGACTCGGGGCAACTCCTGCATGTACACAGAATGCAGAGCAGGAGGCTGAAACATAAAGACAACATTCTCGACTGCAAGATGGATCCGCGCAAACCAACGAGAGGCGGCCTGGCACGTACCCATGCATATACAGGAGGGAATCACTGCGTGACACTTCACCTCGTGCGGGCGCAGACTGCACAGAACAGAAGGCCTCGCAAGACGAACATATCAACTGCAATCATTCAGACGAGCACCTCAGAAGGGCCCGACGCTTCCGCAGGAGGGCGACACGGCCCCTGACAAGACGAGGTCCCTGGGGCACATGAGGCACTCCCATGCCGTCCAGCAGCCCGAGGACTTCAGACAGGGACACATCGGCATTGCCCTCCACGACGCCGTCGACGACGGCCAGGACTAAGGACTGGCGCTCGCTGAGGCCCGCGGTCGCCTCGCGGAACTCATCCTCGTCGTACGCGGCGGTTCCCATAGCTGAGGCCTGCTTCATGGGCGGCGCGGCCTCCGTCGGCGCCTCGGCCCCAACTGGGAACTTGGCCCCGCCCATGCGCCCACCCAAGCAGGCAGCGGTAGGCGCGGCGCAGCCGCTCTTGACGAACTGCTCGTCCGAGACCAGCAACTTGATCTCATCCAACTTTACCTCCTGCCTCTCGGGGTCGCGCAGGAAGTCCGAGGCAGGCGACTGGGACGACGCCAGCTTCTTCTCCAGCGGCACGGAACCGTGCTGGGAGTCAGAGGCCGTCGCAAACTCCTCGCTGGACACCGTGTCAAGCACCGAGCGGCCCACCGAGCCGGGCTGCTGGTCGCCCGACACAGGCGAGCCCATCAGCGCAGCCGCCACCGCCGCCGGGAGGCTCGCCGCCACGTGGGCCTCGGTGTTCCGCAGCTTCGAGAGCCGACCGCACATCGAGGCTAAGGAGCGGCATCCTCTCCGCCGAAGCTCGCGCTTGACGTCCGAAACGCCTGGCTTCTGCTTCAGACCCAAAGACGCCTGCGCGGCCAGCAAGAGGTCTTCCTGGATGTTGATGTGCGCCGCAGCCGTGACACCCTCGCCACACACCGGGACGCCTTCACCTCCACGCGCTCCGTGGGGCGTCGTGCCAGCGGCGCGGACCACGGAGGCTGCCACCATGGCCACCTGGCGGCCGGGCGCGCTCGGCGCGCACAGCGCCGCCGCCACCGCGCCAAAGGCCGCGGCGGCCACCGGGCACCTGGACAACAGTGCCTCCAGCTCCATGCCGGCGGGCGAAGTTGCGCAGGGCGCGGGAAGCCCCGGAGAAGGGGCGCCGGGCGCAGCCAGCTCAGCCGAATGGCTTGAGCCAAAATGGCTACGGACGTGTATGTGCCTGTGCCTGTGTATATGCCTGTCTCTGCGTCTGCGTCTGTGTCTGTGCCTGTCTCTGCGTCTGCGTCTGCGTATGTTAGCGCGGGGCCTATAAAGGCTAAAAGAGCCCACAAAGGGGCCCAGGCCCCACTGAGGGGCCAGAGCCCCCAGGGGCCATCCCAAGACAGGGGGCGGGCCACAAGGGATCCCGAGAGCCCAAACGAGCCGCGGAAGGCAGCCACCAGGGCACATCGGCCCCGAGGCCCCGCTCGGCCGGTCAGCTCAGACCCCCGTCGAAGGGCATCAGCGCGAAGCGCTGGGATATCTACAACCGTGCATGCACGCGACGGGCGACGCCCCAAACGTGCTTGCACAACCCCGAGCGGCACGGCGAGGCAGGCGAGGCGCAAGAAGCATCGCGCCCACGCGCCGAGGCCCGCGGCCACAAGGGGTCCAAAAAGGGACCGAGGGGCCATCAGGGGCACCAAGCGCCACCCGAGACACGCCCTCCCGAGAGGGGCCGCCTAGCGCCGTCTCTCCCCGCGGGGCCGCACTGGGCCTCCACCGCGGCCGCGCCACCAGGCGGGGACAGCTATACATACAGAATGCAACTGCCCGCCTCAAGTACTCGCTCACGCGCTCGCCTCTACCACAGGGGGGGCTTCGAGCTCACACACGGGACGGCATCCAGTGTCCTCCAGCACGCCGCGCTCCGAGTCCACCTCGTCCTCCCCGCCCTTCCAGTCCACGCAGCTGTTGCCTACGTCGGAGCCGAAGTGGTACGTCACCCCACCCAAGGCCTCGACGCCCTGCGCAACCTCAGGAAGGCCTCCAGTGTCCTCCAGCGCATCGCACTCTGAGTCCACCTCGTCCACCCTGTCCATCATCTCCTCGCTGCTGTCGTCTGCGTCGGCGCCGATGTGGCAGGTCTCCCCACCCAAGGCCCCGCCGCCAAGCGCTCCCACAGCGCTGCAATCCGCGAACGCGTCGTCGTCGCGCTCCTCCAGCACGCCGCGCTCCGAGTTCACCTCGTCCTTCCCGTCCTTCCTGTCCTCGCATCTGTTGCCTTCGTCGGAGCCGATGTGGTAGGCGACCCCACTCACGGCCTCGACGCCCTGCGCAACCTCAGGACGGCCTCCAGTGTCCTCCTGCGCTTCGCACTCAGAGTCCACCTCGTCCTCCCTTTCCTTCTTCTCTTCGCTGCTGCCGCCAACGTCGGCGCCGGTGTGGCATGCCTCCCCTCCCAAGGCCCCGCCGCCCGGCGCTCCCTCACGAGAGCCTCCAGCATCCTCCAGCTCGTCGCACTCCGAGTCCACCGAGCCCTCCAGGTCCTTCCTCTCCTCGCTCTCGGCCTCAGGCTGCCGACGGTGCAGCGGCGGCGCGGCCGCATGGCACCCACGCCTGCTGCCCAGCCTCCGCCTGCTGCCGCCATGCCTGCTTCCGCCCAGCCGCTGCCAGCGGTTGAGCTGCGGCAGCTCCGCCCGCCTGATGGCGGCGGCTGGCACGGCCGCGCAGTGCAAGCCCGTGTTACGCCGCGCTCTGCGCAGAGTTCGCACGGCCTTCCCTGCGCCGTCGGGCTCTCCAGCCAGGACGCCCTCCAGGATCGGCGCCGCGAGCGCCATCCTGGCCACGAGCTCGCCCGCGAGCGCCGCATTCGGCTCCGTGATGTCGCCCTCATCCTCCGCGAGGCGCACCGCCTGGGCCGCCGCCGCCACGTGCCGAGCCTCCTCAGCAGCGACGCGGGCCCGCAAGGCGTCAATGGTGGCCTCGAGCACCGAGATGCGGCTCAGAGCGGCAGATAGCCGCCCGCTTGCCGCCTGCTGCGCAGCCGCCCGCCGCGCCCTCCGCGCAGGCCAGAGGGAACCCCCAGCCTCGCACCCAGGCCGCTCCGCCGCTTCGCAGGCAGCCATGCAGCCGACCGTCGCCACCGCGCCCAGAGGCGCCTCCCACGCGCCGAGCCCGAGCCCGCGCACGCCCGAGGAGCGGCTTGAGCCAAAATGGCTACGGATGCGTCTGTGTCTGTGTCTGTGTCTATGTCTGTGTCTGTGTCTGTGTCTGTGCGTGTGTGTGTGTGTGTGTGCGTGTGCGTGAGAGTGTGCGAGAATGTGCGCGTGCGTGTGTGTGTGTGTGTGTGTGTGTGTGTGTGTGTGTGTGTGTGTGTGTGTGTGTGTGTGTGTGTGTGTGTGTGTGTGTGTGCGTGTGCGTGCGTGTGTGCGTGTGTGCGTGCGTGCGTGCGTGCGTGCGTGCGTGCGTGCGTGCGTGCGTGCGTGCGTGCGTGCGTGCGTGCGTGCGTGCGTGCGTGCGTGCGTGCGTGCGTGCGTGCGTGCGTGCGTGCGTGCGTGCGTGCGTGGGTGTGGGTGGGTGGGTGGGTGTGTGGGTGTGGGTGTGGGTGTGGGTGTGGGTGTGGGTGGGTGTGTGTGTGTGTGTGTGTGTGTGTGTGTGTGTGTGTGTGTGTGTGTGTGTGTGTGTGTGTGTGTGTGTGTGTGTGTGTGTGTGTGTGTGTGTGTGTGTGTGTGTGTGTGTGTGTGTGCGTGTGCGTGCGTGCGTGCGTGCGTGCGTGCGTGCGTGCGTGCGTGCGTGCGTGCGTGCGTGCGTGCGTGCGTGCGTGCGTGCGTGCGTGCGTGCGTGCGTGCGTGCGTGCGTGCGTGCGTGCGTGCGTGCGTACGTGTGTGTGTATGTTTCATCCGTGCGCGCGTGTGTTATGCATGCGAGCCTGTGTCTGATGAGTGCATGAGCGAGAAGACAAAGATGGAGGTGGGAGGGTGGAAAACGCGGGTGCAACACGGGTGGGAATAAAACCAGAACATCGGGAAGCATGTGGGAAAAAAATGGGCGCGACCACGACGACGATGATGACGACGACGACGACACGAGTGCCTCTGAGCGTAGGCGAGTCCGGGTACCAGCGGCCGCGTATGAGTGGGACTGAGCGGGAGCGAGCATGGATAATTGTGAGCGACTTGATACGAGCGTCCATAAGGATGAGCGGGCCTTAATACGGCCTCGCCTGAGCACGAGTAAGCCTCAGTGTGAGCGCGTCTGAGTATGAGCGAGTCTGAGTATGAGCGAGTCTGAGAATGAGCGACTGGGTACAAGATCATCTGAGTGTGAGCGGATATGAGAATGCTTTTGTCTGGACAGGAGCGCCTAAGCTTGTCTGAGTATGAGTGCGTCTGAGTATGAGCGGCGGATGAGTATGAGGGAGTCTGAGCGTGAGTAGATCTGAGCTTGCGGGGTTGAGTATGCGTGATTCTGAGTCTGGGTGAGCCCTAGCATGAGTGCGTGTCAGTATCAGTGAGTCCGAGCACGAGTGAGGGCCTCCTGGGGGTTCGTGCAGCTTCCCAGGCCTTCCTGGGGCAGAGACCTCCTGGAGGCTTATGAAGCCTCCAGGAGTTTCCTGAAGCCTGTTGGGGCCTCCTGGGGCCTCCTGAAACCTCCTGGCGCGTCGATTTGCAGGGCCTCCTGGGGGCTCTTGGGGGGCTCCTGTGGGGGCCTCCTGGGGCCTCCTCCAGGGGCCTCCGGTGGCTCCTAAGGCCCCCTTCGCAATGATCAAACGTCTACCCTTAGGTCGGGCATGTCCTCCTACACGCCGACTTTGGAAGAGAAATGGAAAATAGTCAAAGAAAAATCAAAAATAGTTCAAAACGCACGAGAAATCGTCATCATACTGCTTCTTTAACTTCTTGAATGTTCCTCCTGTAGAGGGACATGCCCGACGTACGTCTACCCGCCCCCCCCTTCTACCCAGAGAAATCCCGGCAACCAGGGAACGATCGTGCCCGCGATCTACACCCTGGCGGCTGCCCCTCAGAAAGGGAAAGCCCAATGCCTCATCCTCTCGGGAAGCCCAAACGCCAAGCCTGCTACGTCCCGAGGACCATGGGGCTCCGAAAAAAACGCGCACCCAGACCTCTGGCTGAGGGCCCCCGAGGCCCGGACCACTTCCTTTGGGCCGGTTCTTCGTCCCGGCGCGCCATCTGACGCTCTCGAGGCCCGGCGAGGGCCCCCGGAGGCCGAAAACGGCCAAAATCCGCCCGCTCCGTTTTCGTTCGGGGCGTCGGATCTCCAGGCACCGCCATCCTCCACAACTCGACCCAAGAGGTCACGACGTTCTTCGGGCGCGAGCGAGCCCAGTCTGCACCCTCCGTCGATCCCCCCCCCAGAACGCCCGGGTGCCATGACTGCTACGTCGCGACGACCATGGAGCTGCGAACAGCAAAGCTTCTGCTTCACCCAGAGCAGCCACTCTGCTTCTACCCGAGAGCCTAGAGATCCGACGCTCCGAAAAAATTGGAGCGGCCGGTTCGGAGCCATTTTCGGCCTCTGGGGGCCCTCGCCGACGCATCGAAAAAATTGGATGTCTGAGAAGTCACGACGCTCTCGGCGCGAGCGGGCCCGTGATATACGCCTTGGCGGCGCATCGATGACACCACTCTGACTGTTACATTGTGGTGATCCACGGTTCTGAGCATGAGTGAGTGAGTCTGCGTATAGGTAAAGTGCGAATGCGAGTGGGCCTGAACATCATAAGATTCGGCCTCAGTACATGTGAAATTCTGGACACTGCTGAGTACGAGCACGAGGTACGCGTGAGCGCGAGTGAACGGGAGTCTGAGCATGAGTGGGGAGGATCGGTGCGAGTGATGAGCAAGTCTTGCTGTGAGCGAGTCTGCGTGTGAGCATGTGCGGGAGAGCGAGTCTGAGCGTGAGTCTGAGTCCGAGCACGAGCGAGCCCGAGCCTGAGCGTCAGCCCCAGACCCACGACGTCATGATGTTTTCAGAACGTCGACCCCTGGAGGTCTCTACCCGCTCCCCTGGACCGGCTTTTCCCCCCGAATCGTTTTCTTGACGGTCCCGAGGACAGGTAAAGGCCCCCCCGGAGGCCGAAAAAAACAGCAAGAAAAAACCGGCCGTCGTGATTGTTGTTGCTTACCCCGAGGGGGCCTGGGGCTCGTGCAAGGAGAACGAGGGACATCGGGAAGCGCGGGAGGGGCGAAGGGCGAGGGGTTGCGGCGGCGGGGAGGCGCCCACGACTGGCAAGAGCTCCGCGCCCCCGCTGTGGGAGCAGCACGGCGGGCGCCCTCGCCCCACCCCGGGCCCTCGGGAGGAGAAGGAGGAGGAGGAGGCGGAGGAGGAGGCGGAGGAGGAGGAAGGGGAGGGGGCAGGGAGATCGATCTGGCCCAATGAGTAAAAATCAAAAACAGCAAACACAGTAAACGGAAAAGCGCCAAAACAGAAAACAACAGCCAGCAGAACATGCCGCAGAAGGGCGGGGCCGACAGCTCTGGGCCGTGACGCTTCCGCGACGCCGCGGCCTCCCTTCGTGCCTCGTAGAGCTCTTCGGCATCGATGAGCTAGAGGAATTCCGGCGCGGGGTGGAGCTAGTTGGTCGACCCGGTCAGAACGGACAAAGTGATGACTTTCGGTCGGTTTTGCTGAGATTTGAAAGATATTTGACCATTCATTTTGAGAAAGCAGATTGTTACGCCGAGCATTGGCATATAAACTTCTCTCCGACAGCAGCTGAGCTCTCCCGATGTATTTTATTAAGAGTTGACTTCCCGGAACCGAGCCAATATGAACATCGAAAAAATCGAAAATCAAGATTTTCGGAACATCTTCATTTTATGACTCTACTTCGATTCTGAGCACTCTGACTGGTGTAAGGAGCTCTACGAGGTTCCCGGCGTTGACCAGGTTGACGGTTCACCGCCGGCGCCAGTCAAGGCCCCGTCTGCGGCGGCTTTGCGAAGACTGCAGCCGTGGGACGACGCTTTCCATCGAGCAGGGACCGATCGTCCCGGCATGCCCACAAGCCTGCCCCAGAATGTTCGTGGACCCCCAAAATGTTCGAACAACAAAAACCAGATTCTTTGAACATAAGCCCGATGTGCAAGAACCAAAAAGTCCCAGCCAGAAATGTTCTGAGAACATGTCGTGCAGACCGCACAAGGTTCTTAGAACACTCGTAGGTGGGCCCATCGGAGTGCCAGGACGCTTCGCCACGACGCCAAAGACCCCGAGCAGGGGCCAGCGACAGATGGTGGGCCCTGCAGAGATGTGAACACGAGCGGAAGCACGAGCGTGAGCGAGTCTGCGCATGCTGAGTGGACATTGACTGCGAGTGTCTGGACCTTACTGCGATCGGAAAAGGACAAGGTACCCACATTCTACCCTTCGCCCGTTTATCCCTTTGTCGCCCTCCTGGGAGGTCCTCATCGCCACCGTTGGATTCGCCTCAAAATTCTGATCAGTACGCACCCCAGGAAAGGTCCAGGGATTAGCGGTGTCGGTGCTTTTTGATGTCCCAATGCGACTGAGCCTGCGAGCGAGTCTGACTGAGTGCGAGCAGTCATACGTGAGCAGTCATACGTGTCGCCTGGCCGTTTATTCTCAACGCGCCAAAGTGGAACCTTGACTGCGAGTGAGCCTGCGAACGAGTCTGTGTTTAACGGGCGAAGAACGGTACATACTTACGCAGGCCGAAGGGTTTTCCTCTTCAGCCCCAAATGTCGGAAGCGACGTGCCGTTCTGGTGAGCGGATACATGTAGCGTTCTCTTCGGCTTCGTGCCTCCTCCCTCCTCTTTCCCATCTTCGTCCTAGGAAGACCCCCTTTCCCCGTAGGATCATAGCTTTGGTCAGCTGATCCACGGTTCCTTGGATATCATGATGTTTCACGTGCGGTGCCCCGCGGATCCCATTTCCCCTGGGTCCGGGATGTAAATGTTATCATATCTTCATAACCATAAAAACGATTCCCAGAAAGTGAATGGACCCATTTGCTTCTCACGGGAAATTGGATCCGCGCAAGACAGGAATAGGATCCACGACGCTGTCCCACACCCGAAATAAAAAATCAAATTGGATCAATCGGTGTTCTCATCTTTTAGTCCAAGAGGAAAAAACTTCCGGCCTGGGGATACAATCAACTCTTTCGCCGTCGGGGACGAATGTCAGGGCGGCTGGAGAAATTATGCCCGTAAGTTGGCACGTCAAGTTATAGACGTTCCAGCCTCCCTGGGACAAGCACCCCCGGTGACGGA